CAACCTGGTCACAGCCCGGTCAGGGACGTTGACACTTTCCTCCGTCTTCTGCTTTAGACCTGTGGTCCTCCCGGCTTTCTCAAAGTGAAGGGCCCATGCAGCCACTGCATCCAGTGCAATGGAGCACTGGGTACTCAGCACATGGGGGGAAATAGGCAAAGACATGTACAGAACTCAAGACACCACACGGTCTGACAATAGGTCCTAGAAATCATGAAAGCTGAACATGAAACTCTTCCTTCTGCTCTAAGCCTAAGGAAATGGGCACTAAACTGCAAACACACACACGCAGAGGCCATCTACAATCCTTACAGCTGGGACACTGGGAATACACCCCGCTCCCGACTCCATCAGCCGCCACCCCCCCCCCCCCCGCCTGCACTGTCCCACTCTGGCCATCCCTGCTGCCCCAACTGCTTTATCTATTTCTTTGATCCTGTCATGATCAGGAAGTAAATATACAAGTCTGTTAAGATGATCATTCACAGCCTTTAATGAGGGTCCACATTAGCATCCAGCAGAACTAAAAGATCTTTCATAGGACTCATACTCCACAACGTCTCAGACGGACTTTAGGAAGCTTGTAATAATCTATTTGCACAATAATGGCAAAATGTCATCTACAGGTCACCTTTGGAAGAGCCGCCTCTCATTTTCACAAAAGGAAACAGAGCTGGGGAGGTCATCTGCCCAAGATCAGAGAGCTGAGTACATCCATCTAACTTTCTGTGCTCGCTGCACTCCCCCATGTGTGAAGGGAAAAGAAACCATTATTTGCCACATGCTCTCAGCTAATGCTTTACACTGAGTACTGTAGGTTCTGACTGCCCACGGGATTACAGTTCATCATTAAAATATCTAACAACTTGATTTTTCAAAAATATATCAATTACCTTTATTAGTTGCAATCCTAAGTTAGTTTTCCTTAAAACAGTAATATTTCACTTTTACTGTTTATTCATCCATTAAAGCAACATCACTGCACTGCCAAATTAACCATACACATTAAATACCTGACATGTGCATCCCAACTCTTATCTGAGCCAGCACCGGCAAAGCGGCCAGCTCCGGCAGCATCGCCTTGGGGAGCCTCTGGAACAGACCCTGGGATGCTCACCCTCCACCCCATCCTGAGTAGGAGCCAGGTGTCCGAGTACCATGGACGGCTCCTCATGCTGAGATCTGACCACCCGCCTTGCTCTGCTGGAAATATTGGAGGAGGGGGTGTGCAGGGGAGGCAGTCTTGGGATTTCTGGCCACTCTTGGGATTTCTGCTCTTCTCTCACTCAACCTACAAGAAATGGGCCAAGGGCACAGGAGGTGGTTCCACTGGAGAGGGGAGACCTGGCCCTTGGGGCCCAGTGGAAGAAGGGGAAGAGCAGGAATGAGAGAAGTCAGAGCTCTAGTGGAAAGGGTGAAGGGTGGGGAGATGCAGAGGACACGGGGAGATGGGACACTCGAATATAGAGGTGCAGCAAACACACCCCAGAGTGACCAGCCAAGCAGGGAGGGGGAAACGCCCCTTACCCACCTCACCATCTCAGTTCACCTGTGCTCAGCAGACCCTCAAATATACAAAGGACAATCATTTACTGAAAAGAATGCATCTATAACAGCTTGAGGCTTTGCAGAGTTGGAATCCACAGCACTAAAAGCAAGGATCCCAGGCAAGAAAAAAGTGCTGTCAGCACAGAGAAGGAGAGCAAGAGTTAACCCAGTACAAGGAGGGCCAGGAACCCGAGGGGGTGACATCGTGGGGTGGGCTGCTCCCCCAACTCTCCCCAGGCCCAAAGGCAGCTGCTCAAATTCATTCAGTCATATTCTTTAATCAAGACACACAGGCACACCCATGTTTTCCTTTCCATTTTAGGATCAAAAGCAAGGACGGACCTCCAGAATGCAGGCTACAGCTGAATTCATCATTCAATGCTCCCCCCTACACAAACACACACTCACTCTGTCTCTGTCTCTCCCGGCTGCCCCCTGGCTAGCTACCTCATCCCACACAGGGACCCTAATATTCTCCTTCCTATTTCCCCTCCAGAATCCTTGCATGGATCCCCACTGCCTTTCTCTTGGATATCCCCGATGCCCTGAATCTGGCCCATCACCCCCTCCACACTGCACCCAAGTAATGTCTTTCGAGACGCAACCCCGTAGGCAAGTGCCCTGCCAATGGAGCCCCAGCAAGTTCCCTTGCCCCGCTGATAACGCCCATGCATCAGAGACTGGCCCACAGCCCGGCCTCTGGTCAAGGTCGGGGGGCCCTCACCCCCCAGGCTGACTTCCTGCCTTTGCCCCTGCCCTTCCCAGGATGGAAAATGCTCCTTTGACCCTGCTGGACCAGGAGCCCATTGAGTCTTCAAGACCCATCTCACATGCTGTCACCTCCCCCGGGACTCTCCCTTCAAATCCGCGGGACATCACCGCAAATCCCCGAAGGTGCAGGTGGCCGCCCCGTATGCTTCACAGCACACGCTCACCTCAACAACCTCCATTACTGGGTCCAGTCACCCAGTGCCTCATACACGAACTGTTCGTTGCGGATCTGTGGAACAGGTCCGTACTTTTCTTTTCTTAGGTTAAGAGTATGGACACCACCGCACACTGTGACAACCATAGAAAACCCATATCCCAAGACAAAAACCACACCAAAGCCCCTCAACAGCACATATTCACTAATGTGGTTGGCAGACGTGACACCCACCTCCCAATTTACAGCTAGGCACACGGCCACACTGCAGTGAGGATGAGACCCACGGTTTCTCACACCACCCAGGGACATGGGTAGGGCTTTCCTGACACCTCCCCCCCCGCCCCCCCGGTGAAACAGAGCAAAGAAAGCTACACTCACCAAGCCCCTTGGGCACAGCATGCAGACACGCCCTCGTATTGCATGTTTGCACGTGCATACACACTGCAGCTCTGCATGTTGGGTTCCCAAGAGATCCCAGCAGGTGTTTCAAAAGTCCTCTCCTGTTCTTTCTCAGCTCAACTGCTGGGAGTGGGGATGAGGATGCACAGACCCAAGCTGTTCTGTTTAGGTCTCTTGTGCCCCGAGAATGGGCAAGACAGTCCTAAATGGGTGCCCTCCCGTAACTGAGAGTTCTCACCCAAAGGCCCCCACCCTCCCCTCTACGCCACCAGCAAGCAACTGTGCCTGCCGCTGCCAGGCTCAACTGTCAGTCAGGACCAAGGCATAGCTGCACACTGAATATTTTACCACAATAAAGACATATGCATTCCCTCTGCTTTTCAGATCAACCAGCAATTCTCAATCGTAAGCACTGCCCAGTATACAGACGGTTTGTGCTACGAGTTCCCCAGTGAGTCAGCTGTTTAGAAAAAGAACAATTTCCCCCCCACTCTTCAGAGAACCAGTGGCCTGTGTACAAGGTAAGGCTCCGAGTCAGTCAACAAAAGCTTTTTAATACACTCTGGACTTGAAATGCAGAACCTTGAATGCTTTATCAAAAGACTGAAAGATGTTCCCAGCCAAATTTATCTACCTGGCTCTAAGAAAATATCTCAAGCGCTCCTTGGAACTCCCAGAACACATCCCCTCCCTGTTGCAGGTCAGTGACACCCTGCCCCTCCCCTCACAGATCCTCTACGGAGATGGTCCCTCTGGGGTAAGGGAGGTGCTCAGAATGGTGGCTGCAGGCAGTCCTGCAGGGGCTGGGGTTGGACAACTCCAAGAGCTGGGCAGCCCCCGCAGCCTTCCATTCATTGGCAGACCCGCCAGGGAGCTGCCCCGTCCCTTCCCAGGACGTTGCCTGCGCGGCAAAGCAGAACACTTTAACTCTGCTCACGGCTCTTCCCGTATTTCTCCTGTCCCCAAGTAAGGGCAGCCCTCTTGAGGGCCTGAGGATTCTGACTCTTCAGAATATAGTCCAAGATTCTCAAGCTGCCTCCTGTAGCTTTTCCCTCTTGTCCCCCCAGCAAGGAAGGCAGAGCCCTCCTCAGGCTGTCTCTAATGGGGCAGGGGACAGAACTCCCAAGTGTACTCTGCTGCCCTTCTGCTGGGGACAGAGGGTCCTGCCTCAGCAGGCTCCCCGCCGTGAGCGGAGCCAGGGGCAAAGCAGGAGGCTGTACTGTGATGAGGGTGGAAGAGGAGAGAGGAGAGGAATGAGCGGCCTGCAGGAGGAGGCAGGCAAGGACGGTTCTCTTCCTTCCTGTGCCAGCTCCACACCCATTTAAGCTGGGGGCTGGGGATGCAAGGTGAACCAGCCAGAGCCCTGGCACCAATGAGGGGAGCACAATCCAGTGGGAAAAGACACGAAAACAAAAAAGGACAAAGTGGACTAGGAGCCACATCAGAAGACTGTACACAGATGCATGTGTGGGGATTCAGAGGAGGCAACGAAGGAAGCCTTGGGGAGACAGGGATGCTTCCCAGAGGGGGAGGGACAAGCCGGGAGGATGAGCAGGGTTTACTGGTTGCTGGGGAGCACAAGCACAGGAGGGTGAAACAGCAGGCTCAGGGAGGACCTCAGCCCAGGGCAAGTGCAGGGCTCAGAGGCGGGCCCGGGAGGCAGCGGGACAGACAGCAAGGGACAAGCCTCAGGGTGGGCACAGTCAGATTTTACACATGGAGTGGGGCTGCAGCCTGGCAGCACGGAGGAAGATGCAAGGTAAGCAAGACAGCTGGGGGGACACAAAGTAGAGAGCAGACCAGCCCTGAAGGCAGGGAAACCCAGTGGGCACGAGCGGAGCGGTCAGGTCTGAACTAAAGGAAGGGGGGTGGAAGGGGATCCTGGAGAGAATAAGACCTGCCCGCCGGGGATCCGGAAGGAGCGGAGAGTGAGTCTGAGTCTCCAGCCTGCACAGGGCAGAGCCCTCCACCAAGAAAAGAAACACAGGGGTGGGGGTGGGCCACGGCCACTAGGACGCCCCACCTCCTGCCAGCTCCAGCCAGTCCTTCCAAGCAGCCCTGGGGGAGTGGCCTTGCTCCATGCCTCAGGGGGCTTCAGCATCCCGATTCAGCACCCCAATCTCACCTGCATCCAAACGTTGTCTGCAGCAAGGTTGTGATTCCCACGCAGAAGAAAATGGTCCCGATGAGCTGGCTGGTGGCCCACTGGTCATACCCCACACACATGGCATCGGCCAGCAGAAAGGGCACGGCGATGGTGCCACTGAAACAGGTCAGGTAGTGCTGTGGACGACAGCAGGTGGTCGGGGAGACAGCAAAGCTTCCTCGTGTTTCTGTCTGATCCTATCTGAACTGAGCCCCCTGTTGTTTTTAAAAAACGGCCCATGGGAAGAATCTCTGGTGTTCTGGGTACACTTGCCTACCCTGTGCCAAATCCTCTTTCTTCTTCAGCGTTTCTCCTTTCTATCTTACGGTTCACCTGAGTCCAGGACTGCACAGGTGAGGTTTTATTTATGTAACTGGGAATATCTTCTTTGTTCAAATGCTTTTTTAGCATCAATTGCTAAAATCTGAGATCTTTTTTCTCTAATCTGTTGACATGAATTGTGCTGCATGGGACCATTCTTGAAACCCTCGTTAGTCATGCTAGATTTGTCTTCTGGGATGTGATTTGCCAATATTTTATGTGGCATTCTACATCTATAGTCTTAAGATAATCAGTCTGCCTTTTTTATTTTTATTTTTTTTAATTCTCTCCAGCCTGTGGATTAAAGTTACACAAACTTCAATGCACAGGGTGTCTCCCATCTTTTTCTAGGGTCTAGCATTGTTTGACTATCATTAGGGAAGGGTTAAGGGTCTGTGGGAGCTGTGGGAACCCTCCAGAAAGTGCCCGTCCCCCACTCCTCCTTTGGGGCCCAGCCCCCACTCTTTCAGCCCCTGGCAGGACATTCCTGGCACTCACTGTTCACATCTCTTCCTCCCAGGTCTGTTTGTTCAGGTCCCACTTCTATTCTGCACTCCCTACTTTCCTTCCCAAGTTTCCCGTCTCTGCTCAATGTTTGCCAAAATAGGTTGCCTACAGCCCGACGCTCCACTCTACAACACTATTAGGTGTTCTAGGCGGGGAACACAATGTTCTTGCCCAGGACTTGCAGAGCTGCTCACAAGCTTAAGAGCACTGAGGATCGTCAAGAAAGGCATGACACACGCAGGGTTTCCCGATCCTATTTGACCAGGGAATACTTCTTCTAGAGACATCTGTAATATAAACATTTCCAAAAGTGAGTTTCCTGAACCTGATTCAGGATACTCAGTCCAAGTTAAAGACCACTTAGCTCCTTTGGCTGTGACTCTTCCTTTACTAGACACCTTTCAGTCCAGGTGACCAAGTACTTTGATGCCTGTGTGGGAGGTGGGGGCAGGGGTGCGGAGAGTGCTGGGAACCGGACCAAAGCATCAGGTGTCTGCAGGGACAGCCCCACCTCTAAGTGACTACACCTGTCTGGGCAATGGGACCAATTTTCTCAGCATCTGAAATACCTCAGGTTGAACAGCTCATTCCAACTTCAGAAAGGAAGAAAGGAAAGTCAAACCTCAGAAGAGAGTCTGGGCTAAAACAACCAAGGCAGATACAGGCCAGGGGGACAGGGGGACAGGGGCCTTCTCCAAAGTCCCCCCTCTAATCCCTAAGAGGGGAAAGGGTACTGAGAGAGGGGAGAAAAATACCGAAGATGCAGGAGCTCTGCGTCAGCCTGAGTCACCTCCTGCCTGGGCCCCCCTTGTCTGGTGGCTTGCCCACTGTGCTCCCACGGCAATCCGCGGCAGACGAAGCCTCTATGACAGCACCGTGTCCCTTCCCATACAGAGAACACTGGAACCTCCCATGTACGTCCCGGCCAACAGGGCACTTCTCGGTGTCTCCCATGTTTCATGGCAGAACTGACCATGACTGGACTGCATGACTAGGAATGAAGATCAAAACTTCTCTTCCCTCCCTTCCTGCATTCTCCCCTCTTTCTGTATCTCTACGGTCCTTCCTCCTTCCTGCTACGTCACTCATCTTGCTCATTCCTTGAGCATTTTCCTTCCTTTGGGCCCAGGGTCAACCTCTTCCTCCTGTTCTTTTTTTCCTTTCACTACTATGAAATGGATGCTAATGAGTCCCAGTCACCATTCTTAAAAGAGTAATTTAAAGTTGTCCATAAATAAAAATCAAAATTCAATTTTTAAAGAATCCAGACAGACAAGTCGAACGTCTGCTGGTGGTTACATCCTATGGGAACCATCTTACCTGTAACCCCAGAAATATGCACAGGTACCAGGGAGGGACGTCTTCTATGGTATAAATCATGTCCGATCTCTGGGGGTCTAGACTGCCAGTGCTATCCAAAGTTTCGGCAAGAGAGCTCTGTGAGTGACAGGGAGAAAAGGAATTGTTTAATAAAAGCGAGGACCAATAATAAACTCCACTCGATATACGCCACGGTTACAGAAAAACAACTTTATAAAGTGGTGGCCAGTCTCTTGTAAAAATAAGCCTTGGCTGCCTTTGATGCAATGCTCAACACACACAGTGAGACAATCTGTCCTCAGAGTTTGGGGGCTCAGTATCCCTTATCATTGACTCATCCCCAAGAGCACCCAGCTTGCTCAGTTTCTCTCCATGCCTGGGGAACCCCTATGTAGAGAGTGATGCTCCCAGGTTGAGCCCACAAAGTGATACCTTGGCATGAGTAGTCCTTGAGTGGTGCCCCAAAGGAAAAAACGTTATAAAATGCTAACCACTTTCAAACAGAGAGCACTAATCTGACCCTTCTACTCTAACCCATCTCTGCAAGGAGAAAGATCTTTGTACTTTAAAAAAAAAAAAGTCCTACACCTTCCTATCAAAACACTTCTGCTTAGACACATGGTGAGTGAAAAGAGCAAAATTCAAAAGGACAGATATGAGGATTCCAATTTTGTTTAAAAACAGACTAAAGATATATTTATAGTTTAGGGGACCAGTGGGGTTTTTTTTCCTCCCTTCTCTTCCCTCCCCCCACCATTACTACAGACTTTTAAAAATATTAAGTGTTGCATGCTTTTTGAGCCAAAATCTTCACAAAGACTGGACACTTTAGGTTATAGTTTAGATATTTTCAGTCAATGTCTGCATTACTTCTCAGCTAAACAGAATACTCAAGGTAACCTCAAGTTCTCCCACATACCCTCAAAACTGCTCTGGGTTCTAAAACTCTATGAACAATTTCTTAGAATCCAAGATGGGCATTTTTTTTTTTTAAGTCTTTCGTAACTTAAAAAAGTGCCTAACAGGGGCACCCGGGTGGCTCAGTTGGTTAAGCAACTGCCTTCGGCTCAGGTCATGATCCTGGAGTCCCGGGATCGAGTCCCGCATCGGGCTCCCTGCTCGGCAGGGAGTCTGCTCCTCCCTCTGACCCTCCCCCCTCTCATGTGCTTGCTCTCTCTCATTCTCTCTCTCTCAAATAAATAAATAAAATCTTTAAAAAAAATTAAAAAAAGTGCCTAACAGGAAACAAAAGTCAAAGATGTTCCACAAAAAAGGGTGATGACCTTCTGACTATATCTAGCCCGACTTGTGCCCTCTTGTCCATGGATATGGTCCGCAGAAAGACACTGACTCCCTGTTTGTCAATCAATTTCCCGTGCAGAGGCAGACGGGGATTTGGGGGGCCAAATACCCTTGAACAAAAGAAATGGTACAATTAAGCCTCACCTTTCAAAGCCTAAAGGTAAATAAATGTCTGATGTAAGTTGACATTTGAGCTAATCCAAACAAGAACTGAGGGTGACCTTTCAGAGAATTTTGTCTTCCATTCTAAACAACAGATACTGGCAGATTTGCATTCAGAGTTAAAATGGATTGCATATGCCTTTTAAAAATCTGTTGGCAGGGGTGGTAGAGAAAGCACATGTGTGTGAAAAGTATGGTATGTGCTAATGTGCAGGAAAGGATTAACTCAGCAGGCCTGGGTTGTCCAAGCCCCCACACATTTCAAAAAATGGCTTGGTCCTTGCCTGGCAATTGGTAGACAACCTGGATTGGTAGACAATCCTTGGAATAGCCTGCTTTTTTTTTTTTTTTAATTTTTTTTTTAATTTTTTTTTTTTTTTTAATTTGTTTATTTGAGAGAAATAGGAAGGGGGAGAGAAAGCAAGCAAGCAAGCAGGGAAGAAGAGCGCAGGGGGGAGGGAGAGCATGGAGTGGAGCCCGACTCGGGGCTCGATCACAGGACCCTGAGATCATGACCTGAACGGAAACCAAGAGTCAGATGTTCAGCTGACTGAGCCACCCAGGTGCCCCACGGAATATCCTACTCTTAAGAATGTGTCTAGGTGGGGCGCCTGGATGGCTCAGTCGTTAGGCATCTGCCTTCGGCTCAGGTCATGATCCCAGGGTCCTGGGATCGAGTCCTGCATCGGGCTCCCTGCTCAGCGGGAGGCCTGCTTCTCCCACTCCCCCTGCTTGTGTTCCCTCTCTCGCTGTCTCTGTCAAATAAATAAATAAAATCTTTAAAAAAAAGAAAAAGAAGTGTGTCTAGGGGCGCCTGGGTGGCTCAGTCAGTTGAGCATCTGACTCTTGGTTTCAGTTCAGGTCACGATCTCATGGGTTGTGGGATTTGTCCTGCACTGGGCTTCAGGCTTAGCACCGAATCTGCTTGAGATGCTCTGTCCCTCTCCCTCTACCCCCTCCACTCACACATAATCTCTCTCTTAAATGAATCTTCAAAAAAAAGAATAAGCTTTTAAAAGTCAGAATAGAACAAGGAAAACATAATATAGGAATTGAAGAAATAAAAAAATTTCCAAGAACTATCCCATGTTTGCAAATTAGAAAGACCCACCAACTACTCAATTAATTAAAAACTATTCAGATATTTTGGAAGGCAGCCATGATACCACCAATGTTGCTCAGACTCGGGTATTTTGAAAACTCAATAAAACAATCAACTGTATTAAGAAAGACTTTAGGGCGCCTGGGTGGCTCAGTTGGTTAAGCATCTGCCTTTAGCTCAGGTCATGATCCAGGGGTCCTGGGATGGAGTCCCGCATCAGGCTCCCTCCTCAGCAGGGAGCCTGCTTCTCTGCCCCCCGTTCCACTTGTGCTCTCTCTTGCAATCTCTGTCTCTCTCAAATATTTTTTTCAAAAAAAGACCTTAAAACAAATTTAAGAACAAAGGGAAATAAAACATGTTGACAGAATCTGGACAGAATTTTTTTTAAAAGGAATAAGAAGTGGAAGTGGTAAGAGCACAGGAGAAAACAGACATGAATAACAGAGTAAGGGGCACAGGCTGGAAGTGGAAAAAAAAAAGAAATCAAACAATGTAAGAGAGGGGCACCTGGGTGGCTCAGTCATTAGGTATCTGCCTTCGGCTCAGGTCATGATCTCAGGGTTCTGGGATCGAGCCCCTCATCAGGCTCTCTGCTCAGCAGAAGGCCTGCTTCTCCCACTCCCACTCCCCCTGCTTGTGTTCCCTCTCTCACTGTGTCTCTCTCTGTCAAATAAATAAATAAAATCTTAAAAAAAAAAATGTAAGAGAAAAAAGGATTAGAGAGAAATGATAGCTGAAGAAGGCAGGCAAAGGAGATCCAAAATATGTCTCATTAGAGCCCTCAAATAAGAAAACAGAAAGAATAGACTGAAACAACAACAAAAAAATAGAATTCAAGACAGCTTTCCTAAAGTAAAAGGATTTTTAATGCTAAATACTCCAGGTGACAGAAAACACTGGCCCAGAATGGTCAACATCAAAACATATCTAAGTAAAGTTACTGAATATCAAAAATAAAGAATCCAAAAAACAGGCAAAAAGATCAAGATGCTGATAAAAAGAAGAAAACAAGACTGGCCTGATTTCTTCACAGCCACAATCAATACCAAAGAATCAAAGAGTAGCAACAATAAGGTAGGACTCAATTATTCTCTTACCTTTGTACTACACAATTTTCCAAACATATACAAAGGTGGAAATACGGAATGCCCACCTCATACCTCTCTCCAGCTTCAAAAATTACCAATGCTGTATTTTTGTCTAATCTATTCCAAGGGAACTTCCTTTTTCAAGAACTGCCGGTACCTTAATTTTAAAGAGAATCCACAAGGATTCAAAGTTTAAAAAGGTCTTTAATTTTAAAAATAAATCTCAACATTATGAAAATAAGTTTATCTTCTATTTAACAAACTTGGTGACAGTTGCAACTGCACAGCTGTTGAAACAATGGGCAGCAAAAGACCCCAGTGCCAAGCCAGGTGGGAGGGATATGCCAAGTGGGTACACATTATAACTAGTTCACTTGTGACTATTTTCACATTTTGGCAATCTCTGCTTCCTAAAAACCTTGTGCTATTTTACATTCCCCTGTCCTCTGTGCAAGGGCCCTGGGAAGTTACATGTTGTAATAACCCCATTTTACAGATGAGGAGGTAGAGACTCTGAAGGGCTGAGTGAGTTGCCCAGGAGTTGGACAGGCTGTCCACAAAGGCTGCATTTGCCACCATGTTACACGGCCTCCCAGAAGGACAGGGTCGCTCTTTAGAAATTACCAGAAACTGACTTTCTGAAACTGTGATTAATAGTGATTTGCCCAATACCACTGCAATCACTTCACATGCTCCTGTAAACACATTTTGCGGGGAAGGTGTAAAGCAACAAAATGCTGATATTTGAATGGGAACATCTAAACCATTTACTTGTAGTTACTTCATTCTTGTTCTAAATACCCTCACTATAAACAAAGTTCAATTCCTTCAACATCCCTCACAGAAGAATCCCAGTAATAACGAGGTCAAGTTCAGAACATACTGGGCATGGGTCCCAATGCTATCTTACAGATTCATGGTTCGTGATTCAAGGCATTATCCTTCAGGTCCTTTCAGGAATAAATCCCTTTGAGCACATTCCAAGATGGGTATCTTGTAGCTAACACCATATTAACCTGCATTTACCATAAGGAGCTCAAAAGTATTAAGAGACACCAGAAGTCAAGTCTTGTATAAAATACGTGAATATATGACAACTAATAGCTCACTATAATTAGGAAAACAAACATGAATATGGAGATCACATGGGGTGATCTCTCTGGCCCCCACTCCTCCTGTCTCTCCTGCAAGGTCCCAGTGTTAGTTAATTCACGATGAAGTGTTCAGAGACAGCCTTTCCATGCCCTCAAAGAGGCAAGATCCCAAAGGGCAGCATCCTCTGAAGTTTTGTTTGCACAAATTCAAGACAGCAGGGGACCTAAATTTCATCTTCTTTTTCTCTAAAACAGGAATAGTGGTAGCACCTTTCTAACTGGGTTGTGGTGAGAGCTAAATGTGACCTGTTGCTTGAATCATAGAGCCCAAGGTCTGGACCATTAGCACCGTTCAACACATGGTAGCTGTTCTCCCAAAACCTGTCATTTCATAAAATAAGAAAAGCAGCCAGCGAAACAGGAAGATATCCTATCTCACTAGTATTCAAGGAAATACTAATGTATCAAAGTTTAGACAGTGAAAAAGATTTTCAAACAGGCAAATAAATGTCTAGCATAAATGTGCTAAACATTTTTTTCTGCCCACAGTTCACTAGCACCAGTAGAAGGTACTGTTAGAGATGTTAAAAAGCCCTGAATATTAATGCTTTTTGCTATTCATTTCAAAAGATGACCATCATTTCCTAGATAATGGAGGAGGAAGTCCAAAATCATGACAGCTTATACCCTGAAAACTCAGACTAAGGGCCCAGTACATGAAAATTGGATCCAGCCTAACGAGTCTGTGAATTCAGAAGCACTCTGCTACAAGATGTATCACTTGGATGCTGAGACCCAAGCAGGCCAGGTGGTGGCTCCCTGCCCAGATCCTGCTCTGTGGGCTGTGTCTCCGCGGCTGACGTAGACATCAGTCAACATGTCAACAGTGCCTACTTGAATTCTTGCACTCTGAGGAGCACCTTAGAATCCAAGACCACAGGAATTTTAACATCTCAGCATGAACTTAATTAGCCTCCATAAGATTTATAATAGCTTGACGAAATTTATAATAGCTTGACCAAAAAGCAATATTGGTCAAGATAGCCAAAAATGGAAAAAAAAACTACACAGACACAAAAATTTGATTTTTCCAGAATTTCAATATAATCTCCTTTTTCTTTATCATTTTAGTGATTACACTGTAAACTTATGGTGTTAATACCCAACCTGGGTACTATATTTGCATGTATCAACTTTCTAGTGGTCTGTTTCTAGAATATTAAGTGAACACTATCTAGAATATTAAGTGTACACTATCTAAAGTACAATCCAGGGGCACCTGGCTGGCTCAGTCAGTAGAGCATGCACCTCTTGATCTCAGGGTTGTGAGTTCAAGCCCCACAGTAGGTGTAGAGCTTACCTTAAAAAAGTACAATACAGTTCTAGAATATAATGCTTCATTATAGAAACTGATTAAATTAGTAAATTTTCACAGTGAAAATAAAAAATGTGCTTTAAAAGTCTACCAAATTAGGGTGGCCTGGGTGGTTCAGTCTTTTACGCATCTGACTCTTGATTTCAGCTCAAGTCATGATCTCGGGATCGTGGGATCGAGCCCTGAGTCAGGCTCCGCACTGGGCATGGAGCCTGCTTAGGATCCTCTCTCTCCCTCTCCCTCCGCCCCGCCCTCCTCTCCCTAAAAATATAAAAAATAAAAAAATAAGAGTCTACAAAGTAAAACTCAAATGAAATTGAGATGTCTTAGAGCTGCCATGCAATCTGAAAATACCCTATAGTCAAACTTTTCATGTATTAAGCACAGTGACCGACCCAAAGTAAAAAAAGAAATCAAGACATCTGGATCCTCTTTGGGCAGGCCTCTCCTGGCCTCCATGAATAAGGTCACACAGACTGACCTCAAGGAGACCGGATGAGGCAAAAAAAAAAAAAAAAAAAGATCCTCCCCGCCTCAGCATGTGATTTCCATCACTCTGTTCATTGTCATAGTCTACACTGGCTTCTCTTATTCTCTTTTACCGCAACGGAGTCTGTACCAGGCACGATACTAACTTTTTTTTAAAGATTTTATTTATTTATTTGAGAGAGAGAGTGAGAGAGAGAGAGAGAGCACGAGAGTGGGGTGAGGGACAGAGGGAGAAGGAGACTCCCTGCTGAGCAGAGAGCCCGATGTGGGACTTGATCCCTGGACTCCAGGATCATGACCTGAGCTGAAGGCAGACGTTTAACGGTTTAACCAACTGAGCCACCCAGGCACCCCAGGCACGAAACTAATAACCACCTATGTTACTATTTCATTTAATCCTAACAAACTGAACAGACAGATGCTGACATTTTTATTCCCATTTTGGCGATGAGGCACCTGATACCCAGAGAGCTTAAGTAACCCTCTTGGGGGCGCCTGGGTGGCTCAGTTGGTTGGGAGACTGCCTTCAGCTCAGGTCATGATCCTGGGGTCCCGGGATCGAGTCCCGCATCGGGCTCCCTGCTCGGCGGGGAGTCTGCTTCTCCCTCTGACCCTCCCCCCTCTCATGCTCTCTGTATCTCATTCTCTCTGTCTCAAATAAATAAATAAAATCTTAAAAAAAAAAAAAAAAGTAACCCTCTTGGGATCTGGGTCACATTAGCATGCAGACCTGAGTCCAGACTCACATTCTGAACCACCTCCCTCAGCATCCTGGATGAGGCCTTTAAAAATAAGGACTGATATGGGTCTCACCTTAACTGCCATCAAGACAATTACCAATTAAGCCACTTCCACTCCTCCTCATCCCTTCTATTTCCATTATGAAGAGAACACACCCACTCGGAAGGGTAGAGACGAGCCCCCAGGAAGGACAGCCACGCCCTGTACCGGGCCTAGGACACAGGGAGGAGGCTGGGGCACGGGGGTACCTTTTCTGCGATGCCATTCTCCGTCGTGTAGATTGCCATGAGCTCCGTGTCTTCATTGTCCTGTTCACCGCTGGACGTGGCACCTCCATTTATCACCACCTGCAGAAAAACACTTCACTTATAGGTTGTTTCACCGCACACCGCTGTCACTTCATAAAATGGAATGGAAACATTCTCCTCAGACGCCTTTTGTAATGCTCGTAACAGACACCAGCTGTGTGTTTTTCGCCTACCAAATCAGCCAAGTTTCCAGTTTTCCTAAAGCAAACGCCGGACACGTGTGCACTGCATCAGCGACCGTGTGTCTCTGACGGGGGGAGAGAAACGCCCCGCGGGTCCCACAGGCGGAGGCCGGACGGAGCACCCACAGAAAGCCCGGGGAGCGGGGCCCGCAACGCCCTCCGAGGCCAAGAGGGCGCAGCTGCTTCTCTGGGCGGCGGGAAGCATCCTGAGCTGCCTTGGTCGAGATCCCTTCCCAAGTCACCGCGTGATGACGATTCTGAGCGGCGTCCCCCGGAGATGCAACTCGCGCACTGCTGATCACCTAACGTGCTGACGTGCTGACGTGCTGACGTTTCTCACCGTGGTTACTATGCAAACCAGCCTGCCGGCGCAGGCGCAGACAGGCGGTAACGTGTGGCACTGGACAGGTGTGGGGGCTCTTCCTGCCGACAAAATCTAGCTTCTGGGCCCTCAAAGTAAGGACCAGAATTCATCCCCATCCCTCATGCCTGCCCTGGTGAGGCGCATGGAGTGATCTTAGGTCCTGGAAGCCTGTAGCAAGAATCAAAACATTTTTACTCTTGTAGTCAAATGGCTCCATTTCTAGGAATCCATCTTGAAAAATTAATCCTGAAAAATAACTATGCATGGGGCGCCTGGGTGGCTCAGGTCATGATCCTGGAGTCTCGGGATCGAGTCCCGCATCGGGCTCCCTGCTCGGCAGGGAGTCTGCTTCGTCCTCTGACCCTCCCCCCTCTCATATGCTCTCTGTCTCTCTCATTCTCTCTGTCTCAGATAAATAAATAAATAAAATCTTTAAAAAAAATAAATAACTATGCATGAATAGCAGCACAACTATATTTTTAAAATACAGAGAAAAAAAGACAAAGTACATAAAAAGTTTAGCATCTGGTATTGTAAAGTATACTAAAGAGAAGTAAAAGATGAGTGACAGAGTAAGAGATGGTCGAGCGCAAGGTCTATAGCCCACCAAGGTCGGTATCAGTAGTTGGTAAAGAATACCTGCAAATCAATAAAACAATCCACAGGAAATGGGCAAGTGACAGGAAGCTACAACTCACAGGAAAAAATTTAAATATCTAAAACACATGATTAGCTGTCCAACCTCATTTAAAATTACAGAAATAAAAATTCTCATTTTTTAACATAAATTAGGGGGATATTTCAAAAGATGAATCTAGTGTTGACCAGGGTGTGCGGAAAAAGCTACTCTGAGTTATCAGAGAGATTACATTCTTGGTGGACTGGCCTTTGTGGAAGGTAATTTAGCACCAGAACAAAACAGGCATTTTTTGGATCCACCAATTGCACTCACAGAAACTTATCCTCCAGAAATATCCATGCAAATGGTATGTGCATTCAAGACTGATGACTGATATTTAAAATGCTGAATCTCTGGAAACAACCTAAATGTTCATCCAAAAAAAAAAAGACATTACAACCAATGGGGAAAAATAAAGATGAACATTGTGAGATATATCCATTTCAAATATAATGCTATTGAAAAGAATTAAAAAAGAAAAAATAAAACTAACGTACTGACAAGGAAAGAACTCCAAAAAATACTGTTTCTTAAAAAAGTCACAAAACAGTAAGCCTAGAATTATCCTAATTAGGCTTAAAAAAAAATCTTAATAACCTCTCTTGTCTTAAACACTTGGGAAAGGATGCAGAAAGGCCCCAAACCAAAAACAGGAAGGCTACCCTACGGACAAGGAGTAATGATGGGCACACCTTTCATTTTTACTCCCAATCCTTCTTTAACATTGAGGTCTTTTATAATCGGCATGTATTTGTGTGTTATTTGTATGCTGCTTTTTTTAAATGAACAATAAAAAAGATGTCCACCAAAATATTAATCATGGTTGTCTTTAATCAGTGGGGCCATTTTCACCTTTTTCCCTTTATATATTTTGGAATTTCCTATAATGAGGACAACTACTTTTTTATAACAGGGAAGAAATTATGAAGACTAAAGATCTAATAAGCAGCATGGAGGTCCAAAGACATTTCAATCCCTTCTTTTTTAAACAGTTGAAAAAATCAGGCAGTGAAAAATTAAACTTCTTATACAGATTACTAACCCAAGTATGAGGCTACTTTAAAGAATGCCAGAGATCTGCACTAACTAGTACATAATTTTTACAGGGCAGCGTTTTCTTATGGAACTTCAAATATTTATTTCTAGAACTACCTCTTAAGTCACAAGATGGGTTTTTACACAAGCTATCTAGGTTTGGGACATTTGTTTGCCCGTAAAACCAGCTGCCAGCAAGATATACCTTCCCAGCCAAGTTCAAGTCCACAACAGGAAACTCTAACTATCAGAGCCACGCTCCAAGTCCTATCATAGCAGTGCTCAGCCCACAGAGATGCCAAGACGTACACACACTCAGGATGAACTCTCTTACAACAACAACGCTCAGTTACTAAGTCATCAAAGAAACCCAGACCTGATTCAAAGTCCTATCCTGGCTAAAAACCCCCTTCATCTGCACTCATGGCCAAATGAACAACTTCTCCGTGGGGAAGGGGGTTCCTTCAGGGGGATGAAAAGGTTTTGGAATTAGGCAGCGGTGATGGGTGCACAACACTGTGAACGTGTGAAATGTCTCTGAATCGTTCACTTTAAAATGGTTAATTTTGTTAACCATTTGTGTGAATTTCACCTCAATGATTTTTTTAAATTCATATACCCGCACCAAACAGGAGATTTGGGCAGGATTTATCAATCTCCATGCCTTTTCGGACTTATTCCACACACACACTCACAATAAGTACCATAAGATGCAAATGCTTCCCAGCCTAGGCAAAGGCTCAATATTCATTCGATGAACTGTCTGAGCACCTGCTGTGCCCAGGCCATGGAGATGCAGTCCTGCCCCCCCACCCCACCCCCGCCCAAGGAGCGCCACCTGGAGCAGGTGCCGGGCTCAGGAATTCTGACTGGACACAAGGCCCCCAGCAGGGAGCCATGAAGCAGTGGCAAGCACAGGCGGGCCACGACCAGACGTGCCCTGTGGATGGCCGCTCTGCCAGCAATGGGACTGAAAGGGCGAGGTGCGGTAAAGGGCACGGTGACAGGAACAGAGGCAGGCAGACCAGTATGTGGCTGCTGCCGGGCACTAGAGACAGTGGCCTTGGCCAAGGTATGAACAGTGCAGTGCTCTGGGAAAGGTAGTGTGGTTCAGGAGAGAGCAAGGATGTGGCCCTAATGCCCCTGGAGACTGCCCGGATGGGAGCAGAGCCTCGCAGCTGCTTGGGGTGGGCACCCGGCAGACACCACCGCGGTCCGACGGGCAACACGCTAGCCCTGCCCTGAATGCCGGGGCAGGGGGAAAGCGTCCAGGCCACTGTCCAGTTCAATTGCCTGGGCCCTGGGCAGATGTGGGTCCCAGCCCCAAAGAGACTGGTGCAGGGACGGGCAGAGAAACAAATTGGTACAAGAGCAGTGTTTTGCAAGCCAATCCAAAAGGTGTTTGATTCCTAGAAACCACATAGGACGCTTACTTCCCCAGGCCAGCGTTGGATGTTTATTTAACTATAAAGATGACTGACCTAAATCACCTAACCATGATTTCTAACATATTTCCACAGGTCAAGCCATCCCCGGGGACCTCGGAGCCCACCTTCCATCCCCATCAGCCTCCCGTTCCAGAGCTGCACTGCTGCCCTCCACCTGGGCCACCCTCATCCCCAAGGGGAGAACATGTCCTGTCCCACCATGTCCTGGAAGGCAGGAGGTTCTGGAGCAAGCAGCAGGTGAACCAAGTTTCTACTGAAGGGAGAGGGGGATCTGGCACCGGAGAGAGGCAAAGGCGACAGGAGGTGGGGACGCCCACCAGGGCGCCCGTCTGACCCGTGGCCTCCCCTGAGAGTGCGTGCAGGAAATGACCAAACATGACTGGAAAAATAAAACACTGGTTTGTTTTACTAATGTTTCCTTTGGTTTATTAAATTAGCTATTCTGATGATTTAGGATTTTTTTCAAATGTGAAATTAAAAAAAATCAAATGTTAAAATCCGTTCTTCAGGAAAGGCACAGACTTTTTTTTTTTTAAGAGAAAGAGATTAAAAAAAAAACGTTCCTGATCAAAGCTTCACATTTTTGAATCTCTAAATATTATTTCAACTGGGAAATAAAACACGAGTTGGAAAGCTTCTTAAGCTTAATAAAACAGGTTTTCTTTTGTGTTATTAATAGCATGGCCGCTAACAACTGGATCTTGGTATCTTTCATCTTAGGAAACTGATCTAGTTTTTATTTAAAAAAAACAAAAAACAAAACCAGCAGATTACTTTTGGGAACAAGATGTCCTTTCTGCCCCCCCGCCCAAACAATTTGAAACCAGATTTGATGGCTTTAAATTTTTCCGCTAAACCAATATTGTATAATCACTCCATCAGCTGTGAATCAAGCAGGTTTTCTCTGCCTACATTTGTCCAGCTGATGGCTTGTTCCCAATATGCAAGGCTAATATGGTCTCTGTGTGGAAAAGTATGTCTATTGCTCCGTAAACATGTCTTTCTTACTCAAGTGTTTTATTTCTAGTAGACAAAGGCAATAATGCTACCGTACTTGTTTCTAAATAGTAATCCTGAGATGGCCAAATGTACGGGAAGCAGGAGAGACAGGCCGACAGCAGAGGAGTGCCATGCCGAGGGCCAGTGTCACGGCAATGCCCATTTAAACTGACAGCGAACGAGCCTGTTACTCACACAGAAGCTGCAGTGAACGGCAGCTGTGGACACCTGCAAGCGGAAGGGTAAAGGGAACCTTGTGCCTCTGATCAGAGGTTCAGAACCCAATCTATCGCCTATTTGGGGTATGGTATAAAGCACCCACCACTATCATGTGTCCAGTAGCTAAGTGAGCTGTTTTCTACTTACTCACTTTCAAAGTAAAAATGAAGTACCCCAAATTAACTGTTTTCTATTCTTTTAGTAAGAAGGTAACAATATTCTTACCCTCTTACACACACACACACACGTGATTATTCCTCTAGTATCCATATCTACAATTAAAATGTGTTTAAAGAAGGTATCGGGGAGCCTGTGTGACTCAATCAGTTAGGCTTCCGACCCTTGATTTTGGCTGGGGTCACGATCTCAAAGTCACGGGATCAAGCTCCACATCGGGCTCCACGCTGGGCATGGAACCTGCTTGGGATTACCTCTCTCGCCCCCTCTGCCTCTGCCCCCACCCCCACCCCCTGGCTCACGGCCCTTGCACTCTCTCTCTCAAATTAAAATAAATAAATAAATAAATAAAGGTATCAAGATTAGTGTTTCTCAGCCTTTAACCCAAACCCCTTTTAAAAGAACATAAAAATCTCCCAACTACTTTCAATATTATTTGAAATTTCAAAAATAACTACCATGAAAAATAAACCAAAGTATTATACAACATACATACCCTAAACCTCCAGAGCTTGTTGGTCTTAGGTTACGATACTCCAAAAGATGTAGTTGATAGAACACTAGCAACCCTGAAGTTGTCTGAGGCAGCAAGTCCCTAACCCTGTTTTCAC